AGAGTAAGATACCTGGCATATCAGAATATAAGTACTACCAACCAAAAAGAATAAAAAGATCATAAAACAACAATAGAAATTATAGAATATAAACTCCACTCCTAACTTGGCGCCATATTGAATTTCGCGGTCGCGCTAGTAAAGGCCTGGGAACTAGGTGCTCTACCGTATCTGAAATAGCCTTCACCTAGACCCAGTCCTCTGCTTAGCCCGGACGTCCTAGCTGACGTCGACGTCGTAGATCTTAAGCTATCTAATGAGTTATATTGTTATTCTAATGAGTTTCACAGCCATCTTCCCTTCCATAGGCTATGATTCTAATTAATCTAAATCTAATAAAATTGCATCGGAGAGTATTTTCAGTTAGTGGTTGAAACTATTTTTGGTTGCTGCATCCTTCAACCAAGCTCGTGAATAAGTAATGCAATGGTTGACATGGTTCATATCTTGATGAACGCATATAGGGTCATCAAGCCTGTGTTTAATAGATAAGATACGTTTTGTTTTAAATTACTCAGTGGTGTGCATACTTGCACCTGTGGCCACTTTACACTGGACGACTATACATCAGAATTAGCATTTAGCAACCAATCCAAATTACGTGCAGTATCAATGTTTATGTTTCTTAAATTAAAGTCAATTAAAAAATACGAGTCGTTTCCCAACCCACCTCGAGAATGTGAAGTCGAAACTTTCAATCAAATCCAAGTCTAGTCCGAATAAGATCATATTTCAATCGGAGGATGATGTGTAATTTTGGAGTGGGGAATTCTTTCACCAGTCTTTGTTTAGGAATATGGAAATTTTTGTTTACTGCTCAATGGAATATATAAGGAATTTTCAAGATGTGATGTGAAATACGTAACTTTTAAGAGAATATAAAACAGCAAAGAATGCAGATTTTTATAATTTTGCCCTGGGAATTTTTTACTTTTAGCTCCAAATTTTCGCCTCATCCCTCGACAGAGGACAAGAACATGATTAAGAAGAGCTATAACCAAGGTCACGTCTATGGTCGCGTTCTCTTGTTTGATCAAAACGCCTGCTTTGCAGGCTATAGGCCTATTATGGGCATGTAGCATGTAGCGCGATCGCATTCTTCAATTAACCACCATATGTGAAGGTTTACCACATGTATGCAAATTGCTAGCGTTATGACAGGCCGGATTTTCGCATGGCTAAACTTAATAATATAAAGCTTTATGTAAACAGTTGTAAAATACAGCCGTTAATTTTAAGATTTGATTTGATCAGTGCATATTAACAATCTTTAATCAAAGATCATAAAATTCTGATCATGTTAAAATGAATCTATAGTCTGAACTAAGTAGTAAGTAGTAACATTGAATGTTTGAAGAAACTTTGGCACTTATAAAGAATCATGTAGACTGTAAAGGTCATTCATAGGATTCCTCTTAAAAAAGTCGAGACTGATAAGGGGATTCTTCGAACAAACAGTCAACCGTCAATCCAACGCGTCCTAACGGTCATATGATGCCAAGAAGAGAAGCACTAGGGGAACCGAACAAGACCAGTATATATATTGTCATGTAAATTGGTGATCTGAACCGCTTAAAATAAAATAGTCAATATTTCAAGCTTCACTAAGGTTAGTACTAAATATCTATACAATACAACAAGTGGTCTTTGTTATTAATGCGTATGCGGGTTTGAAGAATTGTATATTTATTCCACACTATAATTTCCTAATGGCTTAGTCGTTTTATTGTCGATCAACGAATTTCTCTGTCACTTCTTAACTAAATAAGTGATACCCGTTTACACGTTTAGTACAGTTTATAACAACATACCGATTCATAAAACTAAAAGACTATATCATAGCTAAGTAGGGCATGGACAGAACATCCGGATGTTTAAGTCCCCAGCGGGCTAGGCCGGTGGTATAATATTGGGTAATATAATCAGAATTTTGGGCATCTCACGCGATAGAACTCATGCATTGTAGTCTGTAGAAGGGCAGTTTTGTAGGTGCGGGAAATTTCAATTGTAAATTTTATACATTTATTAAACCTAAAATGGCTATATACCAGGAGCAGTTGCGAAAAATGCAACTATACCCCTGGTTAGGTCCAATAAATGTATTACTATAATTATAAAATTTACACTCGGCGAAATGTTATTACCTACAAAACCCTTTTATATACTCTGTGACTATATAGACTATATATACATATACATATACTGTTAACATTTCGCCGTTTATCCTAGATCGATCGTCAGATGGGTAAGCGGCTCAAACGACAAAAGGGAAAATAGCGAACACTATCTCATATATATTATACATAATTTATATGCATATACTGAAAACTCTAATATATTAATATTAGTAAAATCAATAAAGACTAAAGGGTAAAGACTAAAGTTCACTTAATCAGTTCAGAAGTCCGCTCAGAAACTGTATATGGCCATATGGGGTTGTTATACTTTCAGATGCAGTTACATGCAGTGAGTTACTCTTTATAATATAGATTATAGGTTTTAACTGTGTAAATATCAAGATAAGAACTGAATGTAGAAGGGTTTTTGTAGATGGAAATTTCGAGTATTTTATTGACATATATACTTTGTGACACCACCCCCCTTGAAAACATCTTGTCGGCAAAATAACAGATTTATCGACAAATTGTTTTCGTACTTATATTAGCGAAAATATTTGAGTGGCTCGGATTAAAAAGTGCTGAATAGTTATAGCAAAAATTTTGATAACAAATTACGGCACATTAATTCGAAAGTCAGTGAAAAATGGTATGTCCGGAAATTTTTTTACTTGAAAGCCACGCATGCGAGAGCATGGTCAATCCGTCAACATGAATATGTATTCTTGAAAACCAGCTTAAAATTTACACTGAAAAAGTTTTTAAACAGCGCTCAAAGCTTTCTATTAATGCATTTATTCATATAAAACTTCTTAGCAGACTTACAAGTGAGATTTTTCTTATTTTTTTCTAAGAATTGTTTGAAATGTGACATCTTTACACGCATTTATTCAAGTACATACGCCAGAATCGTATACGACTAGTCGTATCGTGTAGATCATGTTGGAAACGCTCCCTTCGTGTCTCTTTAATGCCATGTAGAAAACCGCTTGATATATGCCTGCATAATAAATGAACTTGCATGCGGGCTCTTCTTGGCAGGTGTGTACACTCAGTAGTCTGTGTGGGAGAGTCAAATCTATAGACTATAATACTCCTTAAACCACAACCCAAACTCATTAGTGTATAGTGAGTGGTTTTGGCTAATATTGCCTTTTAGCTAATAAGTGTTTTTCCTTTTAATATTGAATGTACATCGTGGGAAAATAAGAAAACTAGTCCTTAAACCACAACCCAAACTCATTAGTGTATAGTGAGTGGTTTTGGCTAATATTGCCTTTTAGCTAATAAGTGTTTTTCCTTTTAATATTGAATGTACATCGTGGGAAAATAAGAAAACCCTGAGGACAAGGTTTGGAAAATTCTGAGGCGCTCACAGAATCCCAACCACGGAAATAAAAAACCTTTATTTGGTACGAAGCCGGCAATCTTTCTCCTGCATTTCAGTGTTTTTTTATGATAAATTGTTGCTAATATTTCATATTAGCGCTTACAAATAAAATATTTTATACGCACCCGTAACATTAAAAATTTAAAGAGCGCCGCGGCGCTTAAACGAGTAAATACTGTAATCGCAAATAATTTTTCAGACGGTGCTTCGATTAAGCGCCGCGTTGTTAATATTAAGTGCGGCGCTTATTCGAGGGCGGCGCTCTTATAATAATTTTGCTCTCATATGTGGCACTTAATCGGGGGCGGCGCTCTATCGAGGAGGCGCTTAAACGAGTATCTAGGTTTTCCAGGGTTCATTTTGACACAGCTCTCGTTTTCAGGAAAACGGGGTCACGTGATCAATTTCTGCAAAAGGACTATTATCGGTTGGAGCTAAATATACCCAAACGTATCTAAAACATTTTTATGTTCCCTTTTCAGACATACCGCATGATAATGTAGCAAGGTCGTGCCATAATGGCGTTCAAGTTAATCATCATTTACGCATGTGCAGGAGTGGTATCTTTCATTATTTGTTCGTTTCTCATTCTACTACTGTACCGATGGAAAGATAAGAAGACAAAAGTTAGATATCCATCAATCGTCCTGACATCCCATGATAGCCCACAGTTAAAAGAGAAACGACTTTGGACTCCTCCCAAAGGTAAAGATGAGATCGCCAAATCCACAAAGAGAGGTGAACGGAGTGAGAAGGCAAGAAGTTATTGGTTTCCAAAACGTGACATCAGACCATTTCTTGCACCTACAACAGGTGAATACCAACAACCCGTCGTTTGTAAACAGGTACGAAGATTTTATAATCATTCTGATTATCAAGTTAATTTTCAATGTTATAAAGACCACAGAAGCTCAGGCTCGCTATTGTCCGTTGTTGTCTTTATTCAGAACTAGCCCAAAGCCCCAAATTACTCTACTTGCAACAAAGGTCAGCAGTGATCGTGGACATCTTATGGACGAGGCCCTTGTGGGTATACATTTATATTTATTACGTGCGGTGATTAGCCGAGATCGCATAATTGGATTGGATGTCATCACGTGATGTCACCATCCAATGACCAACTTGGTCATGCCTTCCAGACAGATTGGAGAAATTGTAAACGCCTGCCTGTACAGTATAGAACCCCATTACCTCGAATGACCACGGGAAAAATATTTAGCCGGGGTTCGAGATAACCGAATCAGTGTTAAATTACAAAAAATAATAATACTTATTATTAAAATAAATTAACGTGACTGATCCATTTAATGACCGATGATATAGCTTTTATATGTGGAAAAATATGATAAACACATGCAGTTTGCTCTAGGTATCAAAGAGTGCAGCATTCTTTATTACAGTCTATTTCGCGTGCATGTTTACGCTGCAAAATCAAATATACGTATACGTACTCCCTAACAAAAACAACGAACCGAGTTTATTCGAGTTCCTGGAAAAAGCTGCGGCAGCTCTAACAGAATGGGATCCTTGTTTTGTAGACTGATGACGTCGGGAAAGGTCGTCTCAAGTTTTCTTTCAGCTATGATTACCACATGGGAAAAGGAAAGTATGTAATATATAGATTATATATAGCCACTAAAACGAAAGGTGTCTAAACAGTCACCGACTGACGGACTGACACTGACTCGTACCCAGGCGCTTTAGGTACTATGAATCTATGGTACTATAAATTGAACCACAGAAAACCTATTCCCCATGAGGGGGTTGCCACGAAATTGCTTTTCTAAGCACTTTTTCGCACAACGGCCCACGGTGGTACACTATTCCGCCCTGTAACGTCCTACCGCAAACTTTATAGTGATTGAAAACAAATGGATGCCGTTCAAGAAAACATTCAAGTTCTCATGCAAATATCTTTACATTTAAATATAGGTCACTTCTCACAGTGAAGTTGCATCATGGTCGTGATTTTACGGATGAGTTTGACAATATGTCGATGGATTCGTTTGTAAAGACACGTCTCCTACCAAGTAAACTTCAAACATTCAATTCGAAACTTCAACGACGAACGCTTAATCCCAACTATAACGAGACATATCATTTTGATATTGAATATTCCGAGTTGAGCTCCCAAGTGCTTTGTTTTGAGGTTTATCGCTATGACTGCGTTTCCAGACACAACGTTTTTGGCGAAGTGATAGTGCCGTTCAAAGACCTGGGTTGTAGCGGCAGCGGAAATGTTATCAAAGAAATATCAATGTCGATGAATATAACTGAACCTGATACAATGTCAGCAGGTTTATCCACTGTGAATGGTTTTTCCAATAACAATGACATCATTGGTGATATGAAGATACAAGCACAAAACGATATCGTCACTGGCTAAGATGCTTGGTAAACAACCACGGAATATGCAACAGAAGGTGATTGACACATATGTGCACAAAAATTAGCCCAGTATATGACCTGGAGATATAAAAGAGTCAATTTTTAAAAAATAGTTGTTTCATTATGGTTCGGCCACAGATTAGATTTAACCAGTGAGCTCTAGTATATCTGAAGCAAGAACTTCAGTCATCAAAATACAAATTTTGGCACACTCCTGGCAGCTTTCTTGTCGGACACAGACAAACACGATAGAATGAGACTGGGTTGACGTCCAATAGCTTTTCAATTTCCGCGATCATTGCCTTCACTTTTTTCGACTCAAGTTCTCGCTCCAGTACATATAGAGATCACTGGATTTAACTGACTTTAATGAGTGGTTCGACTCCGATACATTTCGCACCTTCATCAAGTTTTACGCACTCTTTATACCAAATGCTTTCCTTTTATGTTCGCATGACGGTATATAACAATTGAATTGCAGTTTGGTCGAAAATAGCACGTTTAATTATTTCGGCTCAATTTGTTCACTGGTGAAGATCCAGGCTATACCACAACGGTAAGGGTGGATTTCCCACTTAGTCTTACAGAGAAATATTACGCATTTACGCTTGATTTCTTTTGAATTGTGACCATCCGAATAAATCAGTTCTATGCTTGACCGCTGACAATTAAAAGAAATTGAGCGAAAAGTTTCGAGAAATCAGCGAAATTTTTCTTGCAAGTGGAAATCCAGCTTAACTGTATTTTTCGCGATACTTTATTAAAATAAGGCCGTTCGTTTTCCACTTCAACCGTATCGTATCGAAGCGTATTTCTTTGTTTCCTGAGCACTAGAGTGGAACCTAATGACTTCGACACAAAAGAAAATGCTACGCTACATTACGATTTAAGTGGAAAACGGCCTTTGGTATCTAGCTTTTATAAAAATGGAATCACGGGTGTGGTAACCAGGTCTTATATAGGAGTGTTAAATTCAACTCTAATTCTTGGACTGAATGCAATGCACTTGCCTTCAGATTTCATTTGCACGCAGCAAGTATATATTTGGACCGACTTCCCACACCTTTACTTTCGTATACCATCGTGTACCTCGTTCTCGATCTACAATCTTGGAGATAATCCTTTTCAACCCTTTGTGAACGACACAAGCTTAACATGACACAGCGTAACATTGAGGTGGGGAGCTAGTGGGGTCTTAGGAGGAGCAACGTGAATTTATCGTATATGTGCATGGTATGCGAATTTTACGTAGACTACTAGACAGTCTCAACAATAAAGTTATGTCCAAGATATTGTAGTTTCGTGCGATATACAAACACAGAAGGTACGCGAAATATAATATATGAGACTGACTTAGCGTGATAAAAGAGACGATATACACCCATATATTAAAATGAGTTTAAATTTTAAAAACCATGTTATTGCAATATTGGAGGCATTTTTGCTGCACTTGCAACGCAGAGAAATTGAGAGAATATATATATGGCCTTGGTTTTACTCCAAGTGATGAAAATGAAAAATATCGGCGGAGCGAAACGTGGGTCATGACCATGTTGACAATTTTGTGTGAATAGTTTTCTATAAAGGCATGAAAATTGCATTGCAAGTTGCAGCAAAATTGCCTCTTGAAGCATGGCCTCAAGCTCAGTCAGGTGACGCAAATTATTAAAAAATCTGAAAGCTGTCCCAAAACTGTAAATAAATTTGGTTAGTGGTATTTCAAACCTGCTTTTGAGGTATCAAAAAGAGTATATTCTGTGCATCCTGGGCCTAAATCTTAAAATGTTCGAATGTCGTTTGGAATGATAACACAGGCGTATAATACAGAAACCTGACATCAAATGACACAGATCTAGACCTACAAAGTCTTTCGATTTTGGCGAGAGACTCCCACATTTTGGTGACATTAATTATCCATCTCCCTCCCACATGAAGACAATTTGAAGAAATCTTCCGCATTCCTTGTGTTTTATCTGCAACAAAGAAGAGTTGGGAGTGTTTCTATAATGTCCGTTTAATTTACTTTCGTTGTTCTTTAAATGGACGGCTACAGTATAGCTGAGACACTTCAAGCAACAACTATAGTAAAACTGAACAACTGATGAAAACAAATTATCTTCACAATATGTTACTTAGCCATCTTATCGGCATGCGAATTGATGCGTACTGTTCAGTTGAGCACGAGCGCTCTAGTCGGCCGGCCAAGGTGGCAAAAAGTGCCTCTAAATAGAGTTTGATGGCAACTTTATGTTAGAAGCTGGTAACAGGCATTTTCTTATAGTTCAAGCCTTGGTGAATAAGACTGTGTGTGTTACCACTTCTGATATTTGCTTTATAGCCAAAAAATTGAGAATTTTAAAATTTTGCCCATTAAATTACTATGATGGCAAAAAATGTAAAATTTCATGTTCTCTTATACAAAAAATAAACTATACCACTAGAAAGATCGCAAAAAACTATATATAAGATAATTAAGCGACTAGTGCGATTTTCAAGCCGATTTTGAATTAAAGATGGTTAAAGTTGGCAAAATGGCTACTAATTAGCATTAATTTGGTCATTTCTGCATTTTTTAACATTAAAAACTCGAAATAGGATTGGAAAAACGTAGAACTCACTTAATTGTCTTATATATAGTTTTTTACGCTCTTTCTAATGGTATAGTTTATTTTTCGTATAAGAGAACATGAAATTTTACATTTTTTCCGATCATAGTAATTTAATAGGCAAAATTTAAAAATTCTCAAATTTTTGGCTATAAAGCAAAAACCAGAAGTGGTAACACATATAGTCTTGTTCACCAAGGCTTGAACTATAAGAAAATGGCTGTTACCAGCTTCTAACATAAAGTTGCCATCCAGTTGTACAAATTGATGACTTGGCCGGCCGTCTACTCTGAATGTCGTATTTCCGTATAGGCCGTTAGTTTCGAGGTGGCTCCCCCGAGCTAACTCGTGCCTGCAAGGCGTTTTTAATACTATGGACTGGTAGGGCATTTGCCCCACTGGGCCTCTGCCCCACCACTGAAGAAAAAAATGGCGTATTGCCCCAAAGCCAGGGCCCTAGGACCTGTATTGAGTAAATGAGTTTAACATTGAAAAGAAGTTTAAAAAACAACATTTTTTGGTGAGCATACTTAAACTAAATATATTGTGTTTGAATGTTTAGCATGCAATTTATTACAAATTGCACCATTAAAACTTTGTTTTGAGAGGCTGAGATTTCTTTAAAATGTGTTCTCAGAATGCAGGAAATGCCATTTCAGAGATCCAAATTTTAAAAATTTCCTGGAGGGATGCATGACCCCCCTAGCTAACTCGTGCTTGCGGTACTCGGCTCACACCTTCGGCGATCGCATACTATCCTGCGGGGAGGGCAAGGAAAATGGCCCTTTGGCAGTATTGCCCCACCACTGAAGAATCCTTAAAAAATGCACTGCGTGCCTGCGGTACTCTGATCACACCTTCGGCGATCGCATACTATGCTGGGGGAGGGCAAGGAAAATGGGCCCTTTGGCAGTTTTGCCCCACCACTGAAGAATCCTTAAAAAATGCACTGGCCAAGATCCCGTTCAGATTTTGTTGTTTCTAGAGTGTCACCCTTCATCTTGTATGTAGTCACCACTGGCTTCATTTTACGAGTGATAGACAGCGACCGTCGACATTTACTTTGATTAAAGGGGAGACCGGAAGTCGAAGACTAGGATTCTAAATTGGATAAGTCCTGTTGGAGTAATTTCGTATCGTTGATTGATGCGACTAGACTTAAATATTTTCGTATCATCTGCGAACATAGCGACTTGATTGGATTTGACGAAACCGGGCAGGTCATGAACATATAAGAGGAATAATATGGGACCTAGCATGGAGCCTTGGGGAACCCCAGAGGTTACAGGTAAGGTGTTAGATGTAGCACCGAGGGCGGTAACGCGCTGTCGCCAGTAGACAAGTAGGACCGGAGGTCCGGAACCATTGTAGTAGGCCACCTCCAAGTACAAGCCTGCTTAGTTTGGAGAGTAGCAGCTCATGATTAACCGAGTATCGACTACCTCCTCCGCAGGCGCTCAGGGAGCACTTCGGGCAGGTTCGGAAAATGCCCGCAAATTTGCACCGCCCGCAAATTTGCCCGGAAAAGGGCCTGCGGAGGAGGTAGGAGTATCGAAGTCTTTAGACATGTCTAAGTACAGTAAGTAGATCCGACGTCTGTTTGATTACCACTATCCAGGAGGGAGCCGATGTTATCTCGGGCTTCGAAAAGGTTGGTGATACATGACTTGCCATGATTTATAATTATATACAAATGAGATATTGATACTCTGCGGCGCAGTAGATAATGACAAAAAAATATAGCGGTAAAGGCCTAATTCCACGACGAGCGAAATGCGAAAAATTTCGCGCGAAAACGTTGAACGCATGCGCAACATGATTTTGGAATGTTTCTCTGCGAAATATTTCTCTTCGCCGGGTAGTTGAATTCGTTTCTACTCTCAGTGTTGCGAAATGGAAGTAGCGAAGCCAATCAAATGCTTGTGTTTTGGATGACAAAATAGCGAAACCAATCAAATAATGCTTGTGTTTTGGCGATATGTTTCTCTACTGTGGAAATCACTACGAGAGAAAATTTTCGCACAAGTGTGTTTCACGCGAAATTTTTCGCATTTCGCTCGTCGTGGACTTAGGCCTTAAATGCAATATTTATAGATAGCACAAAACAATAGGTATAGCAAAGACATAAGGGCCTATAGCTGTTCATATGAGCCGCGGGATAATCTCGTAAACGGGTTGGCTCGTTTTGCCGGGCTAGTGGCGAGCGCTATAGAAATTCCCGCGCGATTTTTGGCGGGAACACGATATTTGTCCAGTACTTTGCAAAATGCAGCTGTTTTTATTGACGGAAACTGCTTCAGAAGGTTTAAATTTTTCTATTTCTTGCTTGTTTTGAATTTTTAGATACTTTCTACAATCGTCCACAAAATACTGTTGACCGCTTCGGAATCCACTTCCCCCTCCCCCAATTTCAATATAGTTTCTAAAACAAATGTAATGTGACATCTGCAGAACCACAACTGTCCATTGGCTGATTCAAAATCTAATGCATAATTAACATCTAATGCATAACTAACATCTAACAAAATCTAATGCATAATTATAATGTTTGTGATGTTACTCTGAGTGTATATCCACACCGAACGAGCTTGAAAAATATGCCCGGCCACGGTGGGAATGTGATGTTACTCTGAGTGTATATCCACACCGGACGAGCTTGAAAAATGTGTCCGGCCACGGTGGGAATCGATTCCCATCGTGGCCGGGCATATTTTTCAAGCTCGTCCGGTGTGGATATACACTCAGAGTAACATCGCAAACATCATATTCACCTGAGTACACAACACCAGCACAAACCAAAAAAAAATCATATTTGAATTATAATTAAACAATGTTACAACATTGAAATGGAGGAGGG